ATTAAACCTGGATCTGGCTTTGAAGAGCCTTCACATACTTCACAGCCTCTTCTAACATGTCTGCAGTGTTTGTTTGCTGCTACAAAGAAGATAAACAAATCCGAGTCTACATGTTAAAAAATCTCCCAGAATATGTATATAACAAGGAAACTAATCAGATATTAATCATCGAATAAAAAGCTTCACAACCGTAACTACGAAGGTCCATTAATACCTTCACAATCATCGAGATCAATTGTCCTTTAAGGCCAAGCTTACTATGAGCACTAACTCTTACCTTAAGCTTTAAGCATATCTAACCTTGGACCCATTTCATAAAACTTCCAAGCAAAATTGGAAATCAATCTGCATTGTAAGATAAATTTACCTTATCCATGTTCGGAACAAGTTCTTGCAGCCTCCTGATCCGATCACTTATTCGCGTTCTCCTCACCTAATAACCAATGAACAAAGAAAAACTTAACTAGACAAAAACAATACTGTGACTGTAAACCGACAAAGTGAGTAAATACCCGCTCGGCAATGCTACGAGGATGAGTTGCACAACCGCGTTTAGCACGAACCCTACAAGGAACCGAATCTTCAAGAAGCTTATCCATGTTCATATCCATCATTCCTGATACTCCACTCATTTGCTCTTCTTTCTACTCACAAAAACAAAAGGGAAGAATTAAGCAATCCATATGCATACAGAGACTTAACCATCTCCAACAAACTACTCACAAGCGCTACCAACCAGAAACTACTCAAGTTACATGATCTTCGGATTTAAACGCCTTCCATTTAACGGATTGATACATAGTCCACATCAAAGATGAACTTTTATTTTGTTTGCAATCTACTAATAGAATGTAATTTCCACTCAAGAGATACAGGAAAAACAAACAATAAAAAAGAAGTCTGCAAGTTGCTGGGTTTTTGTTTGAAAACAAATGCAAGTTGTCAAAACTAGACAAGATTGCTCTTTTACATCTTTATTGTCTCCAAGACTAAAGATTTCAAAGACTCATTAAACTATGAGTGTATCAATCACTCAAGTCAGACCCTGAACTCACTCACCATTTTGACAACGGTAAGAAATGAAATCTTAAATTCAATCTAATTAAGATTAGAATAGATTCTTACCATCTGAGAAGAGAAGTGTGCTTCCATTTCCCTCGACCGTTTACTTGCCGGAGAAATGTCAACGTTGGTCGACAAGTAGTCGTAATTCGCCGGAATCCCAAAGTTGGTGAAAAACCCATCAGTCCCAGCTCCGGAGCCACTGAGAAAATCCGCCGGAGAGCTATTCTGACGATGAAACCCACCTTGGTGGTTGTACAAACCACCCTGCTCAACAGGACTCGGGAAATCGAACGAGTCACGACTCGTTAACCCGGCCGAGTTTCCGGTGAGAAGCTCAGTTAAACAGAGGTTAGGTTTCAGAGCATCTTCTTCATCGTCCTCAAGTAGGGTTTCAATCCAATTCGCCGGAGCTGAACGGATCCGAGCCAACCCACTTCGACTCACCT